GGATCTGACGAGAATATCAAAGCCAGAATCGGAAAAGCAAGACAAGCTTTCATTACTCTCAAGTCTGTGTGGAGGTCAACATCACTCAGAATCAAAAATAAGATCCGGATTTTCAACTCCAATTCACATTGGAGTCAGTGCTACTTTATGGATCAGAGACCTGGCCAGCGCGTCATAAAGAGCATCTCAAACAATCTACACAACTTCATTAACATTTGTCTTCGCTCAATACTCAAGATCAGAGTTGATCAGCAACAAAGATCTCTGGCATTGAGTGAACCAACACAGCAGGAACCGATTATGCAACAAATAGGCAGGAAGAAATGTAGATGGATTGGCTGGCCATACTCTCAGGAAACCATCAAGTGAGTGACATCACTAGACAAGCCATTGCTCGAGTCGAACCCGAAAGGGAAGCGGCGAGTAGATCGTCAGTGCAAGTGTGACTTGGAGGAGGTCATGTGAAGAGGAGATGAAAGCATGTGGGCAGACTTGGAGCGGGGTGAAGACTTTGGCAGAAAACAGTAAGCAATGGAAGTGCGCAGCTGAAGCCCTATGTTCCTCTAGGAACTAAAGGACATAATAATAATATTAATAATAATAATAATCCGAAGTCTCTGAGAGTGCAACATCTGATGAAAGATCAAGTGCCTAGTGCTCCCTAGTTATGTTGACTTGCTGGCTAATCTTTGTTCTTGAATAAACTAGCTGTTCGTTCTATTTTGCATCTGATTTATCATTGTTTTTTTCTTTCTTTACGTTCCCAGTGGAACATAGGGCTTCAAGGTAGAGCCTTGAGGTTTCGGTACCTTATTTTTTAAGGGATGAGGTTGCTAGCCTCATGCCCAACCTTCCTTCTTCATCACTTTTGTTACTGGCTTGACTAGGTAAAGGAGTGCGTTGGTAGCCGGAGATCGAACCCCGGATCACTTGTGTGGTCGCCGAGCATTCTACCGATGCGCCACCGACTCTTATTATTAACTCTTGCTGATACCTATTTATTATCATTTGAGATATAATATTTTTAGGCATGTATCATATTTGGACCCCTGTTAATTTATGAATTCGTCTCAGTCACTATCACCATCATTATCATCAGTGATATTGATTAATATTTTGATAAGGTTAGATTATTTCAATGAATAATGGATAATTAAATTCACAGGAAGTGAAATTCATTCACTCAAGTACACTTTTTAATATTTTAAATTAATGTTACTACTACTACTACTAATAATAATAAACAATAATAAAAACAACAGTTATTACCTCATATACAGACAAAATGATAAGTTGTGGAAATGACATAAAATTAATTGAGAAGTTATTTATAGATTGATTTTTAAAGAAAATCGATAGTGGTTAGTATGTAGTTGACTGCATTTCTTTTTGTTATGTATTTTATTCAGGTTAGCAATTATTCACAGCTGAGATTATGAGCGAATTTCCGGGAGAGGCACAGGTTTTTGCTGTTTCTCTTTATACCCGTGTTCTCTTTTCTCAGCTTCAGTAGTTGTGTTGTCTTCATTAATAACATCTGATTTTAAACACAAAAATATTGATCCTGTGAGGCGAATGTGGAAAAGATAGGAAAGCACATAACCCGTTTGATTTCGTTCTGTCTGTTTAAAATAGTCTACAAGAGTGCAGCAGTTACTCCTCTATGTAATTTATTGTTTTAAGCCTTAATTAAAGCCAGTCGCTCAAGTAGTCTTTATGATTTTTTTATTTGTTAGAATTATTATTCCCTTGGATTCCGAGTGGAACATCTACATTGCACTTTGTTTTCTATAGTCTTCACGATAGACTTAAATCGCCTACTCATAAGATCTCCCCCATGTCACCCTCGAACTCACGCCAAACTCCGTTTTGTTTTCTATTTAAGTTCTGCTGCAGTACCTGCTAGGTATTATGCGCTGTTACTTCATGGTCTCCTCAGCGTTTGTCTATTCCATCCCCATTTTCACCCACATATTTGATATAAGGAGGCAGATTCTTGTTATGTTTGTTGTTCTGTTAGAGCATCAAGCCAGCGACAGTAGTTATAAATAAAGGTCTATAGTAGCTTGTTGGGACAATGACGTGAGCGCCAAGCCTCTGAACCCTACAGAATGCCTTAGTGACTTGACATTGGTGCTGAAGGTTTAGGTCTTGTTCCTTAAGCTGACTGCGGTGGATTTTCATACCAGTTTCAGAGCAATGAAGGTGTGTCCCACCTTTCTAAACCTACATTACCTGCATCCAGAAAATCAATACAATTGCTACCAAACATAGAAAATATCGTCACTATAGTCAGGTTGAGTGATGTTACACTGTGACAGTTTTTAATCCACCTTCCAGTTTATTTTTTACATCACGAGTAGATGTTAAGCGAAGCAATCAGCAATAAATAAAATGCAAATTCTTTGTATTGATTTTGTGGTATTCTAGTGAAAAGACGGTAGCTATGCTTAACATTTTGGACATCGTCTGTGAATCTGCCGATTAGAATAATGTCTGAAGGCCATTTGCAATACTGTAATACCATTCTTTCTGAAGATGAAAGAATCGTGAACAATATACAAAGTACTATTGTGGTGAGAGCAGGCTGCTTGCCAATTGGTAGACATTAATCTACGTCAATGTCTAGGTCACTAATATTGGCCGTGAGAAAATATGAACACGGCTGATTCAAAAACCAATCACAGCAGACTTAAACGTGGGAAAAAATTCGATTTGCAGATAGATGGCTCGACTTTCCGAGAAATCTAGGGAACAAGCAATCAGAAGACTGCGTTTGTCTACTTAACTTCCGAGAAACAACCAATCAGAAGACTGCCTTTTTTACTTGCTTAAGCTTTAATAATGTACAGGAAATATATATTAATACGTGTTGATTTCCGTAATAAAACGATCTGTTGCCGGCCCTTGTCTTTTGTTGTTACACTATATTACAACAGGCGAACATATAGAATAAAGACCACGGAGGGCGAACGCACCAATAACCTTGAACACACACCATTCGTTGGATTATAGAATCTACCATTTATTATACAGTAAAAGCCGTTAATTTAGAAGAAAAATTAACACAATAATAATAAAAATAATAAAACACAATAAAGACCGTATTTTACCCTCAGGTAACTCACAATACTTCCCAGTCACACTAAAGCGTATCAGTCTCCAGGTTTCATGGCTGTCAAGACAGTTCCCTTTACAAGAACAAGGAAATAGTCTCCTCTTATATATGTTTATTTACTAGAAAAATACAGATGATAATAAGACATCCTAACTCTAACCCTAACTTTAACCCTAATCCTAACCCTAACCTGCTATCAGTCCATTGTTCAAATAATACTTAGAAATGACATCGGGATGAAATGTGCACATCAGTTTGTGCACTGCGTTCATGCTGGAGTTGTAGTAACGACAGGTTCTGTAATCCAGCGAATGGTAAGAGCTCAAGGTCGCCGGTGCGTTCGTACCCCATGGTCGTTGTCCTGAAAAGACATTACCCAAATGGATATTGTAGAGGGACAGCATACAATAAGAAAATATTTGGAAATCGAATTAATGCAAAATATAAAACTCTAAACTTCAGGCATCTGAAAACTTATCAGACAAAGAAAGCAAAAAAAAAATGAATATCAGTATAGAAACGAAACATGAAGCTTAGTTCAACAAAGCTAGCTGGCTAGCTATACAATGTGTTCAAATAAGAGTTATTTACCATGTAAAGCCCAATAATTGCCGATGGGTTCAACGATATGAAAGGGCAACAACTAAACAAAAGTAATCCCAGAAGCTGAAATTCGCAGAAGATAATGATTATAAATCAACTAATAATAAAGGCGACCAGTCCTGCACCGCAGTAATGCGAAACACTGACTAAATGATTGACTGGTTTCAACATAGAACTTTCCACCTTTGCACAGCAGCTGGAGTCGCCACACTTCACTCAGCACACAAACCCAGAGAAAAAAATAAAAATAAATGCAAAATAGAGGCAGTAGACAGGGATATGACACAAAAGGAATAGTAATATCGAAGAACAATATAGTTTCATTGGAAATTACAAGTCACAAAGAGTGGATGCATCTGCACAAGCCATTGAGAACGATTTTGAGCCATATCACTAATTGTCTCCAGCCATTAGTTTTTACCGTCCCGAGGACCCCAACCTACTAAGATATCCACACCTTCCTTCATGGCTTAAACTAACAGTTGTGGATTTCATTGACTGATGAAGTTATGTTTTGGTTTGACCACCTCAAGCCCTTTTTCAGCCTGACCCTATGTCAGCTGACTAACATTGCCCATCTAGGAAGGCGATAGCTAGACATACGTAACACATATCTTAACCATCTCAATGGATGTAACTTTACAGACTCGTCGATTGATTTCCTCTCCCTCCTTACCTAGCACTCGACCGACGCCTAACTTCAATATTGCTCACCTTGTTATACCCCTTAACATGACGGATAGAACGCAGGGACCTATGATCAAAGATAGCTAGGCAGCCTTTTCATGTCTTCCACTTTCAATGGCCATGTGTCACTCACAGTCATGATGAAAGAGGACGGAGCGGACTACTGTGCAGCACACAGGCTCCTTGGTCGACAGCCAGCCGGATATCACGTCTCTGCCAGAGACGGCGTAAATTGGCATATGCGAAATGAGCCTTCTGTATCCTTGCTGAGATTTCGTTAGCAATCAACCCGTTGGGGTCTGAAGTGAAGTGGACAACACGCTCCACAAACCACTTCACTTCCTATTTCTAAGCTAGGAGTCGATGCAATCCAGACTAGTCCTTTAGCATCATCTTACATTCGGTGGGAGCGAATGGCTTATAAATCCTCTGGAAAAGAATAATGAATTCATTTTCAAGTTAAAGCCACAATCAAGTGGATATTATAACAGCTGAAAGTTGTTTGTTTGCATGTATTACGTCTATAAATGAAACTGATCTTACATCTCAGCAGCATTATTGTCCATTATTTGTTTTCTTTATTCTTCTATAGTTTATAGTTTTGTACTGGCCAATGCACGTATAGTCGACTATCCCATTGTCTATTGTAATGAAGGATTCTCACGGTTAACTGGTTACAGTCGTGTGGATATTATGCAGAAGAGTGGAAGTTGTGCATTCTTCTACGGAGAACAGACAACTAAAGAAATGCGTGAACGTCTACTTAAAGCACTGGATACTCAAACACCAGACCAAATTGAAATGTTATTTTATAAAAAAAATCGTAAGTGTTTTTTATCTTTTAATTGAGAAACATGAAGAACACATTTATTGATTTGTGATGATTGAGGTAAAATGCTATTGAATTGCCAGGCTAGTTAACCGAAGGGTACCTAGTGTAAATCAAGATTTTAATTCCACCTTCAAACATGATGGAATTTGAAAAGGGAGAGCACGTTATTGCGATGGTCTCCTTTAGAATGCGACAGGAAAGAAGATGTGGCTGACTGCAGATTGCGCGTTACAGAAGTGAATTTATATCCTAAAGATTAGGACTCATTTTTGACGAATACTTGTCCATTCCCTCAAAATGATTCGACTGACTAAGGTGTGCACAGATTGATAGGACTAATACCCTACGATTAGAAGTTTATTTTTATGTAGTCATTTCACTTAAGAATAGATAAATGCCGAATGCCTGCAGATGAGACGGGAAGTAAGCATGTTTACACACAATAAAGTATAATTCAAAAAAATCAGCATGGACATATCAATTGGTCTATAATCATGATCAGTAGAATAGTGGGCGTTAATCTCTGTAGGCTAATTTTAATTGGCTTGTTCCTCGAGTGGACATCAATCACTTAACTAGGCCAATTCTGATTGGTTTCCTGACAGACTGGACATTGATTCCTATAGTAGCGGAATACTTGCAGATGTCAATACTTTATTCAACGTCTTTCTGGCAGATATTTCTCCATATACAACTTACAAATTCTTCTTTTAGCGAAACACACCGCATAAGTAGTAGAATTGGAAAATTAATTTCAAGGTTGATCCCACTGCAGAGAGAATTTATTTGATAAAGTCCCTGTTATAAATTAGCACTTACGGATGACGTTTCGAGCATAATTTACTGATCATGATCATATTAGGTTGGTTCCGTTATCGATTTATCTAATCTAGGAAGACTGTTACTAACTTATTAACAACCGACACCAATTTCATCATACTTCGATACTTTCAAAAGCATATGCACCAATAACCAAGTTCCTGATTGTTAGATAACACAACAAGTTTCCCTGATGAGACTCCTGGATGCATGACATCCTAAACTTGTCAATTCAAAGTATATTGTGTCACCTGAAGAATTTACGGGGTAGGAGGTGACTATTAGAATCGGACATCCTTTGAGCTGATTCTACATGACGTTTTCGGTGAATGTAGTTGATAAACGCCTCAGTGGTCTTCAAAGAATGATTAACCAAAGGTAGTCTACCAGTTGAACAAGATATGTCAAACCATCGATGTTAACAGTCGATTATTATGATAATAAATGCCTGTGTGTCGGTGGCACAGTGGTTAGGACTCTCGTCGACCATCCACATGGTCCGGGGTTCGATCCCCTACCGACGCACACCTGATATCTATGGACGGCCTGCAAATTTTGGGCTACCGATATCACATGCTGAAAATTCCATACTTCTACCAAAAAGTACTGTGTGGAATCAAGCTGTAATCAAAAATAAAAAAAATAATAAATATCACTTCGTTTTTGTTTGTATCTTTATTATTGTAGGTCTTCCATTTTGGTTGCTTGTTTGTGTTGCTCCAGTAAGAAATGAATGTGAAGAGGTTGTACTATTCTTGTTGGCGTTTAGAGATATAACAGCTCTGAAAACTCCATTCGAAGATGAGGAGACAACAAAAGGTAAGTAACAAGAATAAAAGATAATGATAATCCCCACGATTATTGCATGAATTCATCGAAGTCATTTCTCAGTTTTTCTGTTGATTGATTTTTGAATATACCATATATTTTACGCCTTTTTTCCCCATATATATACCCTAGAGTTTCGGCTGAGTATAAGTGGAGAAAACGTAAACTTCCAGGTTGACTGAATTTATTAATGTGAATAGATCTAAGTGACAAACACCATGTGAGGTTGAATGAGCTGACTCAAAGAGTTGGTTACAAATGGAGGACTGCGTCATCCTATATTCATCTTTTACCAGCCGGACTAGACAGTGTTCAGTTATATGTTTCCGGAGAACAAAGTTCTGTGAAGTCAGCTTCACAGCAGCACATGAAATAGTAGATGTAAGTAGAGGTAGACATAAGCAGTGGTTTGTCTTTCAGTCATTGTTAATCATATTACCGCTAGCGAATACCAGGTATATAAGTCTGTGGCATGAAGATAGAGTTGAATGCACTTGGATAGAAGATTTTCAATAACTTCAGCAAAGGTATTACATTTGAATGCCAAACTTATACATAGTGTCTTCCGTATGCCTATACTTCCTCTGGGAACGACTTGTTTTTTTTTGTTAATATTCCTTTCAATAAACCTTCTAGCATATCCATTATTTAGGAGTGTTTTAGAAAAGGTTTTCCACTTCTATGTCAGCCACATCTTTAGAACAGATTTTCAGAACTCTGAAGTTTAGAAAATGGCTTAAACTTATCTTTCTACATATGTATAACTTCAACTGCCAGCAGTTAGAATCGATACGCTATGTAATTCTAGTAAACGATTATTTAAGCATGCTCACCTCATAACTTGAAGATCTCCAGTCCTATACCTGATGAGATCATAAGCGTACACTACTGGACAGTCCTGAAATAGAACGAAACAGCTACCCAGTACTTCTACTTTTGCTTTCAATTGTTCTTTAAATTAAAATTGGTGCATTTTAAAACCAACTCCGAAATCAGTCAGTCCCCGTTTAGCTGATTACTGTATTTACTGTGCATACAGTAAAAATAGACGGTGGATGAGAGTAAATTTTTACCAAATGTACTGCATTTAAAAAAACTTCGTAAAATTCAAATATTGTCTTTTTCGAGGTGTTTGGAACAATTCTACTGCATATATCATTACAAACGAGAAGTAGTTAGATATTTATAGAAAATCATTCAGGATTGGACAGCTGGTCCATCCTAGTCTACGGCTGTTAACCATCATGCATCCATGAACCGGCCTGGGTTAGGTATTGAGCACACTGACTGAATGGTAAACGAACTAGTATCCTGAAATCTCTCTTCATTCGTTGCAGTCGATTCTTGATTGATGGCGATTAGTAATGACACATGGATACGTTGTTCAATAATCAGCTGTATACTCTCCAATTATTATCATTCTTTTATAAAGTACTTTGAAGTGAAACGAGTAGTGAGACACATATGCCAGTGGACACCAATGCTATTCATAACTGTGATGGACTGGATTACGCCAAACAAGAGAACAATAGGAAGACCACAGAAGATATGGATTTCACCATCAATTCATGTCCAGTGTCAACACAAACTAAGAGATCTATAGGCGAAAACCAACAACCTGACCGATAAAAAAACTGGCTTCCAGTGAACACAGAACTTCAAGTCAACATAGACAAGATGGAGGCAATGAAGATAAACAACACAACCAAACAACCAACCAACCAACCAAACAACCAACCAACCAAACAAACAAACAATCACCAACACCACCACCAACAACAACAGAAACAACAACAAACATCAATCACTATCAAGGGAGGAAATTCGAAGGAGATAACTTCCTTCACTGGTCAACGAAACATCGTCTCGAATGCAGTCACTCCACACAAATCACTATGTCGAAGGCAGGATCGGAAAAGCAAGACACACATTCATCAGTCTGAAATAACTCTGGAAATCTTCTTCACTCAGTCACCGAATAAACAACAAGACTCACATTTTCAACACCAATGATAAGTCAGTCAGTCGGTCAGTCAGTCAGTCACTGTTTCTCATGGGTTAACCATCTGACACGCATATCATGGACACTACTACAAACTTTCATCAACACCTGACTCTTCACTGCCTCCACACTGAAGATCAGATGGCCATGCAGAAAGAATTAGCGAAATCACAATTCTGGGAACCAATCAACAAGCGACGACCTATTGCTCAGCGAATATTCTGAAGATGGAGATTGACTGGACACCCTTTCGGAGGAGACCGCCGCGTGACATCGTGTGCCCGGTCATCGCTAGAGTGGAACCGTGATAGGGAACGGTGTGTTGGACGAGTGTTTGAGGGTGACATGGAGGAGATTGTGTTAGGTGGAGGGAGATGAGAGATGAGATGAGCAATTGTGAGGTCAGCTAACGAGGAGTGTATAGAATAGGAAGGAGTGTAGAGTAGCTGTTGAAGCCCAATGTTCCGCTCAGAACCCAAGGCGACCATAATAATAATAATGTGCTTACACAGCTAATTCATATAATATTATTGTTAGTTTTTGTGTATGCATTTGAGTGCGCTCTAAATAAGTCGTGTCAGTTAACCCCAGAATGGACAGTAAATATACCGACTAGAATGAAACAGCTGGTCAGTGTTCACCAACTTTCAAAAAGTCTCCTTCATTTGATCCGTGATACTTAATTACTGCAGATAATGTAGCCATAGTATGTTTGTTTGTCTTCATGAGTGCTCATATCGATGCTGTAACGGCGATATTAGGAGCAATTCAGGGGTCAGCTGAAGTGTAGTGCATAGAATAGGAAGGAGTGTAGATTTGCTGTTGGAGCCCAATGTTCCGCTTGGATCTCAAACTTGAGATTTAAGTACTACTGATTGCCATACATAGTCGACTACTGCTCACAGTTAGTTACATAGCTCATTATTTAAAGAGCAAAGGTGATCTTAATGCCAAAATGTGATTCTACTCATTATTTGGCCATTTTAATTATCAAAGATTTTGTAACCAAACTGACTAAGTTCAGTCGGTAGCAGTATTCAAAACCATATAAACTGAGATCGGTTACTTCGATTATGTGATAACACAAAATGAAGTTCAGCTTTTATACAGAATTGATCGTATGGAATCTCCACCTCTGTGTTCCAGGCCATGCTTGGGTATGAATCGATCGGGAACGGAATCCAGACCTCCTAAGTGGTTGGCAAGTGTCCTCCTACTAAACCGCTGACAAACCGAACGCTATCAGTTAGCCTGACTCATTCTCTACTGCTCATCTAAATTAGTAATATATATATGTATAGTACGGAGTTATGAAGTTATGAATTAGCCTCTTTAGGTTTCTTTTTCAAATAATATCAACATTTGAAGGCAATTATCTTTAGGTAAAAGGTGATACAATTCATAAGGTCAAATTTCTGTATGATACAAAGCTTCAGAAAGATAACTTTCAACCGGATGTTTTAAATTACAAAAAATATTATAATTTTTAAATTATATTCTACTATTAAGTAAACTATTTGAAAACATCATTTAAAGAAGAAGAAGATTTCAAAGTGAGGGATAAAAAACAAACTCAGGATAATTATTATCCTTCTACAGTAACCTATTCTCTCCCTCTCTCTCGTCATGAATGCAGATATCCAAATAGCAGGTGAGGACAGGCAATTAAAAGTTTGACGGACAGTTAAGTTCTGTTTTTTTATGAATAAATAGAAGAGAAACAGGTCAAATTTGAATTTTATCTATCTTGAAATGTCCTCTTTTCATCACATGATACCGTCTTAATTGACACTGTTATTCGGGGTAGACATTTTGAATTGAATTGGTGTTGATTTACGGTGATGATGATGATGAGAGTAGTGGCGAGGTGTTTTCGCGCATAGTATAACAAACAATAGGAAAATAAAATACTCCAGTTGGTATTAACCATCAGTAAAACATTTTAAAGACAGACAAATGTAACACATGAAATGTTTTCGCCTACATTGTGGGCATAGAACTAGAGGTGGTCAAATATACAGACAGTTTGAATTTCCCCAAGTGGTAAGTGTTGTGTGAAGGGACTTGTGTAATCTTGTGTTGTGTTCTTAAAAGAAATACTGCAACAATTTCAAATGTTACATCTGAAAATGTTACGTCGACTTTTTGCCCCTCCTGAATTTATACATTGAGCTTTTTTTTTATGGTGTACGCGAAAACACCTGAACACATAAATTGTTTTTTTTTACCTGTTGATTAAAATAACCCCAAACTGTTTACAACCAGCCTCTTTGATTCTTTTAAACACAGACAGGACGAACACATTTTTTTTTCAATTTTCCAGAGTACAAAAGAGCTCTTGCCTATGTTTTTTTCCAGTTGACGTCTTTCCACCAACCACTGAGAGCGCCTTTGCGAATGGCGCGACTTGTTTTGAATCTTCTGCTTGATTTACTTTAATTGTTTCTTCACGCAATAACTTCAGCTGCCATTAAGCTTGTCGTCACGTCCTACATTTATATGGAAGTATTAATTAAAGAAATATATTGATATTACTAAACATTAATGGCGTTCTAAACTACATTGAATCAATAATATTGATAGGTGATTACAATTCCAAAGCATCAGTAAGTGAGAGAGACTGATATGCAATAATATAACAACAATAAATTGATTGAATATAAGATAAATTATGACAGGTAGAACAGAATTTATGGACTTGTAGATTACACAGCTTTGTTCCTTCTCGATAAAGTAGAAATTTGAGGTAAACCTCTAGCTATAGCGTTAGATCGATCAAAGACAACATGTCAACTGATAAGAGCTACACTGAAAACTTCATCACAAAACATTTAGCCAAGAAAGCAGAAAAGAATTCTTCTGTATATGTTACCATGAAGTTTCCATATATACGACTACAGTTCAACGGTAATATATCAACAAGTCGAGAAAGTCGACTCAAAGAACATTTAATGCTGGCCAAACTGAAGCTTCTATTCTCCACACAACT